TCAACCTCGACGAGTCAAATTTTGAACTTTCGCCACCGGTTGAAAATGACGTCGTCGATGACTTGAATTTCGATTCACATGGTCTTGATGATGAAGGTTTGCTTTAAATGGAGTATTAACAAACTGGCAAGCGCAAGAATCGTTCCAGTGATGAAGATGGGGCTGATCGGCCACCACGTACTGTGCGCCAAACGGCCTGGATTGGACATAAATAGCGGACCAGAGGACGATTTGCTGCACCAAGAAGAAAATGATGAAGAAACGAAAGAATCGAAATCGGTCGATTCCGCATGTGTTTTGGCGTGCGAGTGCAAATGCTGTTGAAACAGCAGTGGAATTGTCGGAACCGTCGACATTTGAAGTAGCAGTGACTGGCCCGGATCAAGTGCACTGGCGTAAGGCAATTCATGCGGAGTTCGAGGCAATGCGACTTCATGGTTTGTTTCGTGAAGCCGAGTTGCCCAACGGACACGTGCCATTGGTACCAATTGGCTCTTCAAGATCAAGCGCAAAGCGGACGGATCATCTAGAAGTACAAGGCACGTGTCGTGGCAAAGGGCTTTCGCCAGAAGTACGTAGTCGACTACACCGAGACGTTTTCGCCCGTGGTCAAGTATGTGACCTTACGCATAGTCATTGCGGTTGCCAAGCACTTTGTAGGACACTTGACCAACTAGATGTGGTGATCCTTTCTTTATGGTGTGATACAGGGGCAAGTGTTTTGCGGGATTCCTGAAGGTGTTACGCTGGATGGTGATTTTGACTGTCTCGCATTGGTGAAGGCATTTTACGGCATGAAGCAAGCTTCGCGAGTATGGAACGAGAATTTTGACAAGTTTGTGTATTCCATTGGATTTCAAGTGTCAGGCTTTGACCCATGTCCCTACATCAAGATTATGGAAGACCAGTGCGTATTGATCTTTTTTGTTCTATGAGGATGACGTGTTGGTGACAGGAATTTCACCGTGGTTGATTGCACACACCAAGTTATACCTGAAGACACGCTTCGAGATGACTGATAGCGCAAGTGTACATTTGTTCTTGGAATTGAGCTTTTGGATGGAGAATATGGAAGCGTTACATTGTGTCAGCGCAGGTATTTGGGATGACCTACTCAAGCAATTTAGCATGAGTGATTGCAAGGCTGCAGTAAGTCCGGTGGACATGAGCTCTCACTATTTTTACGCGATTCAGTTACCAAGGCCAATGTTCCGTTTCGTGAAGCATTTGGTGCTTTGATGTATCTCAATACTGTGATACGCCCGAAAATTGCATTGCTGTGGTTATGGTTGCAGCCCATGGAGAATCCTCAAGAAGATCACATGATTGCAGTCAAGCGCATATTACGCTATCTACAAGGCACTAAGACGCATGAAATATGCTGTAAGCCTGGTGAAAAGATCGACTTTCGTGAATATACGGACGCAGACTGGTCTGGCGGCATCGCCTACAGTAAGTAAACTTCGGGATACACGTTCATGCTATTGGGTGCGCCAGTCAGTTATGGCAGCAAGAAACAACCACGTGTTTTGCTGCCAACGAGTGAAGCAAAATCCAGAGCGCTCAGTTTGGCAATCCAAGAGGGCAAGTGGATTTATCGTTTGCTGTGTGAGATCATGACAGCTGCCAACAAGGACGGACCCGAGCTGATGATCTATGAAGACAATCGTGCATCTAGATAACGAAGAATCCTGTCAACCATGGCCGTGTCAAGCACATCGACATCAAGTACCATCACATCCGTGATGAGATCACGCGCGAAGTCAAGCTCAAGTACTGTGAAACTACGGTGATGTAAGCAAACATCCTGACCAAGGGACTTTACGGACCGCGTCACAAGGAGCTGACTGAGACGCTTGGCATCCGCACGTGTTCGCATTGAGAGGGAGGGTATTGAGGGTAACCGGCTTACCAAGGATCTTTGACCGTAACCTGGGTAACCTCGAACCGACCCAATGCAGTTCACGATCATGGTAAGGATTATGCCATGGAGTGCAGAGTGATGGTGATTAGACGAAAATTTACAAATTTTTTATATGTGAGCTACATAAAAATCAGGGCGGGAACAGTCGCTTGATTTATATGTGGACTATATATGAATCAGGCTGTAGGTAAAATAACCTTCGACTAATTCAATCACTTTCGAATCTTCCAACTTAAGAGCAAGTGTCTTTCACTCGTTCTTACATCGGTCTCTTCGCTCCCTCTCTTTGCTTTGCGTTTCCCCGTACAGTGTTAAAGGAAAGTTTGATTTTGTGTCCACACGAAAGAAGAGCTGGAAAGAAATTACTGAGCGAATTGCCTGCTGACCAGATGAGACTATTTTGATCGTGATAAAATACTACTTACTACTAATGATGAAAGGAAGGAAGTAGAATACGCAGTAGTACCTTCACCATTGGATCAGGAGGGAGGACAGCAGCAGTACATGCAAGAGCTCGCCAGCCTGACCTCGAAGGCGATCAGCTGGACGACGCCGGAGGAATGGGTAGTGGAGCTTTCTAGGCCACTCATGCGCTTGCCACCAGCAATGCTCGTGGGCAGACAATCCTTGGATACCTTGACCAACAGGGTCACGTTTTATTAGCAAATAAGCACGACAAAATGTGGCCCTGCGCCACGGCGGAGATACAAGTGCGACGGGTTGGGGTCCGAACGTATTCGTTCGTCATTCCTCAGGTGAGGCGTTGACGCATCAACAAGCCAAGCTGTGATGCTTGGGCATCGCGATTTTGCTCAGTGCTCCGAGGTTAGACATCGGGGAACTGCTCCAAGTCCGACTGGAGCTCGGACCACGTCTCCCACGCGTCTCGCTCATGCGTATGTTTGGGTGTCTATCACGACGGGCCACATCCGAGGTGTTCAGGCAGCCTCCGACTTGGGTCAGCTAGGTGTGATAGAACTGGAACATCAGAACAATGGAATCCTTTGAAAAAAACTTTGCCGCAACCAACATCGAGGATAGGTTCACGGCAGCCGACTGCCAGAAGCTACGGAGACCCCAAAACGCAGGGAGGCATCGTCTTTTACGCGCATCCGCTCCTTCATGGGTTTCCTAGAGCGTGTCTGAGTCCATTGCAAACAGTCATGTGCTATTGGCTCTTAAGAAACAAACATTTTGGCGGTGCAAAGGTCCATATATTCACTACGGCCTACTCTGCAATGTTTCCATATATTCACTACGGCCTACTCTGCAATGGTTCCAAGTCGCGGCGCAAGGGAGTGCATGGCAGTTTTCTCTTTACAGCAGACATTACGGTCAGTATGGAACCACGGCCGCGTGCTCACCGAGTACTAAATATGGGTCGTGTACCGAGTGGCCGTACGGCAATTGATCTCTACCATGCTGACATGGCTAGCGACACCAGTTGTCGTAAGACACTATGCTGCTGTGGCATAATGCAGACGCTGGAACATATTTTATGGACGTGTCCGTGTGCGCAAGCATGCTGGCAAAAACTCATCTGTCTCTGGACTCGGTAACGCTAAGAGCTGGGAAGTCTTTAAGGCTTTCTAGCCTATAGTTCTAGCCGACGAGCACCCGAGCTTTCCACGGGAATACGCGAACAGCTCGACTGTGCTTACCCCGATGAGGCGGGCGCGTACGTCGACGTGTGGCGGCCCTTATGGGTAATCCTGAGCAGCATCTGCATAGTTCGCTTATAGATCCAACGAAACCGGGTAACGTTCCAACACGAGAACCGTACCTTCGGAGGCAGCGTTCAGGGGTTCTATGAAATTGGCATGTGACAACTCCGCGCAATAGGTAAGCGCCAGAGCCGACGCGTAGAAACATTCATCGACGGTACACGTCTGATACTATGTCAGCGCATCATCACGCGGCAACCTCGAGATCCGTCACCGCAGGTGACTTGCCCCGTAGAAATACCGGACCCGACCGAGGAATCGGCGTTGCTGACCAGGCTTAAGATTTACCAGACGTCTTTCAAACCTCAACAACGTACAATCGACATGTCTGCCTGTCTCTAATACGACTCATTCCACTCACCTCTTGTTTTTTTCAAAATTGTGTTGACCAATGAAAAATTTAGCTTTCGTAATCTCATACCGGTATTTTTATGGTATTTTTATATCTACTGCTCATCATATGAAAAAAAGAGAATCGAAACAGTTTCTAAAATGTCGTCTACACTAGAGACTACAAACCACGAGACAACGGTATACTATTTGTATATCTATATATTATTTTTAAACCATAATGATATTCCATCATAATTTAGTATGATGATGATGATGATTTCTAATTGCTGTCCTATTTTCTATCTGACTCCCTTGATAGCCACTAGTGGAACCTCTTTTTAAATACGAACGTCTAAATGGTCATTTTCAAGCGATTTTTAAAGATGATTCACTTAGTGCCATTGCACTTTATGTGAAATTTATCTGTATTGGAACATATAAAGGAAATGTTTTGTTACTTGAATTAAATGGTCAATTTATACGTCGTTTACATCAACATTATAAAAAAGTCAACCAAGTGGTGATTGATGAAACAGGTCAAGTAAGAAAAAGATGAAGAAGGACGCGGTCATGTGTTTTTGCTGTAGTTTCTAATTGTTGTTTATTTCTATTTATTGTTATTTATTTTCTATTTATTGTTGTTATTGTTTTGGTAGTTTATTGCCTCCTGTTCCGACGATGGAACAGTCGCTGTTTACACACTATTTGTTTCAAACATTTCTAAAACTTTAGAAACTCATGATATACTTGGAAATCAACATGTTAGTAATGTGGAGACGGATACAAATCGACGAGAAACAAAATCAAGACAATATTTAATCTCCTCAACTTCAGGAGGTGAAGTGAATATTTATAATTATTTTAATCCAGTGTATGCAATTGAATTGGAAGATCAGTATGCAAGTAAACGAGAAAAAAGTTTTGCATGTGGTGGAATTACTGGACAAGTGATTATTAATCGAAAAGGATGGATACTGGATCGAGAAAATACAATACATGAAGGAGAAGGACCAATACAGATGATACGATGGAAGAATGGCCTTGTAGCATGGGCAAATGATTGGGGAGTGAAAGTATATGATACGAATCATGATCAACGTGTGACGTATATTGAACGACCACCAAATTGTCCACCCATGGAGTTATGTCAATGTCATTTAGAATGGCACGGAACTGACGTACTCCTTGTAGCATGGGCGCATACATTACGTGTCGTAACATTTAAGAGAAAAGGTACAGATGAATCATCATCATCGCCAACATCAGCTGCGACGACATTGGATGCGCCTGAACATTCTACTGGTGCTATTACAGCGCAAGTGGTGGCACTACTTACGTTTGATTTCTTTGTTGCTGGAATAAGTCCGTGGGGTGGTGGATCGGTCGTCTCAGTATTGGCGTTCCGGCCTCCTGGATCTGGATCATCATTCATAGGCCCACAAGGAATGTCCACGAAAATTGAAGGAGAAGGTGACAGCGGGGAAATGCCGTATCCAGAAGTTCACGTTATACAGCTGGATGGTAAACAAGTCAGCGCAGATTTGTTGAATCTCAAGGGCTATCAGCGATTGCGTGCATCCGATTATGTGATGCCTACTCTTCGCTACGCACAAGCACAGCAATCGAATGTGGAACTGACCGACCCATCGTCACTTTATGATGCTGGATACGGTCAACTTGCGTACGTGTGTACCCCAAAGGACGTTGTAATCTGTCGACTTCGTGATGCGGACGACCGCGTGCAGTGGGCATTAGCGCACAAACAGTATGCTAGAGCACTTGATGTAGCTCTGCATGATCCACGTGCTCTTCGTTGCACAATGCTCACTGATGTGATGGAAACATACCTTGCTGACTTGCTGCGCCAGAAGAAATTCCAGAAAGCCGCTGAGGAGATCCAGCGGCTTTTTATAGGTGACAGCGACGAATACGCAAAGTTGTGGGAAAAGTACGTGTATGTATTTGCTCAGCGTGGGCAACTGAGCGCAATTGCCCGCTACATGCCAACGGCAAGCCCACGGTTGCCTAAGGTACAATACGAGATGGCACTGAAGCATTTCCTTGATTTGGATCCAGGTCAGCTCCTTGAACTCATCCGGAAATGGCCAAAACCTAGGCGGCAAGATGCCCTAATGGTAAAACAGAAACTTGGAAGCGACACATGTGATGTTGCTCCGGAGTATACCGAGACGACGCATTTGTTTGAACCACTTTACGACGCCCAGGCATGGATCAATCAGCTAGAGACAGTTGTGCGTCGGCGACGTATTGCTGAGGCCGGCGCGGATCGCTTGAGTGTGGAGACAATGTATCTGATGGAGGCTTTAGCGGAATTGTACACAGCTACAGAGCAGTATGACCATGCACTGCGTATTTATATAAGTCAAGGCGAATTTTGCTCAAACAAGGACTTCGCATTCAAGCTGATCACTGAGCACCAGTTGTGGTCTCTTGTTGCTAACAAAGTGGTCAATCTCATGCGTATTGATAAGGCAATTGCAGTACGCATGCTCGTGAACCAGACAGAGCAGCTCAAGATAAGCGACATAGTTGTCCAGCTTGAAGGAGATCCTGAGCTGCTGCACTCTTATCTTCACGAACTCGTTTTACACCGTTTGGGAGAGTACAATTCGGAAATCTACTCGACGCTGCACGAGAAGCAGGTGGCACTATATGCTGAATATGCACCGGAGTTCCTGCTTAAGTTTTTACAGATAAGCAACTTCGTGCCTTTGGAGAAGGTAATGGCTGAGCTTCTTGTGCACAGGTTCAGTGTGAGCTATTGTGATTTGTGACTTTGCTACTTGTTTACTTTAGGCGTATAGGTACTGCAGTGAACACAATCCTCCGCTATGGGATACAATGATTTACATCCTTGGCCGCATGGGGCAGCACAAGAAGGCACTCGATCTCATTCTGACACAGCGTAGTGATATCAATCAAGCGATTCAGTTTGTGCAAGACAATGACGAGGGTCTGTGGGATTATCTCATTGATCTGAGCCTTACTAGCAAAAAGAACGTGGAGGAGTTGCTGAAGTTTGCCTCACAACACAAGATTGACCCGATCAGGCTCATTCGCAAGGTATACAAAAGAATGCTACCATGCCTAGCAGCGTATTGTCATTGCATCATCTTAATGTTGTGGAACGATGAAATGTATTTGATAGGTACCTGATGACATGGAGATTGAAAATCTCAAGCAAAAGTTAATCGTGATCATCACCAACTATCGTCTGCAGGTATGTTTGTGCGGTACTCTGATGTATCGCAAAAGTGCTAAAGTGACTATGGTTGTCAGCAAAATCTCTGCGTTGGCTCTCGCAAGGTGTTTGACAATGACCGTGTGGAACTGCTTCACCGACAAGTCGCAGCGCACAAACGTGGACGTTGTGTTGCAGCAAAGAAGGCGTGTGCAATCTGCAGCGAACTGCTGCGCGCACCATCTTCAGGCATGGAAAACGTCCACGCGTGTGTATTTGAGTGCGGCCACTGCTACCATCTTTCATGTCTTGAAGAGAAGATGCGCATGTGGAAAAGTGCTGACGTCGTGGAGTCAGGCAACCTGAATCGCGCGTTGGGCTGTTACGTGTGCGACCACAGTACGCGTGCTTACGCTCGTTCCGGTGATTTCAACCAGCAGACGGCTGCTTTGACGGGACCACTGGCACGAGGAGTCACCGAGGAGCAGCTGCAGCGAGCCAAGGATATTGTCTTGAACATGACAAGTAAAGCAGAGTAAGGAGGTGCAGACAGACAAGACTGAAACTTGAATCAATACATATCAATGAGTCTGCACAACGGAGTACTTGCACACTCATACTAACACTAGAAAACTGACCACTGGATCATCCTGTATTATTTCGCATAGGACAAACACAAGATAGCAGTGTGAAGTCCCCAAAACTTCGCATGATATTTTATTTATCGGCAGTCCTTCCTGATGCCTCAAGAGAAACAAAATGTAGTTAGAATCCATTGACTCGAGCATTGCAAAGACATGAAATGTATCCACAAAGTGATAACATTTTCATCCAGCACTTGCTTCAAGCCAATTCAAATCAACCTAAAAACGAGTTCGAGTAGCAAGCACGAAACCAATTCAAAGCAGTTGATTGTGCCATGCTGTTTTATTCCTCATCTTCTTCACCACCAGCAGCAGCACGCTGCGCAGCACGGCGACGAGCAACACGACCTGGACGACCTTGACCATAGGGTGACGTCACTGCAAAATCAATGTGCTTTTCCGAATCCATTCGGACAAGGAACGATGGCACATCCACAAGTTGTTTTCCCACACGAATATGACGTTGTTTGATCAACACACGTGCGTGATGAATTGACTTGGCCAGATTCTGTTTAAACACTTTGGTTTGAAGGCGACGTTCCAGGAGCTTTTGCACATTCAAACGCAAGACAAAATCCAATTCATTTTCATCTTCTGCCAACATTCCATAGCGTTTAAGACGACGTAAGAGAGCCGAACCTTCAAACAAACGCTTGGGATCCTTTGGATCAAGTGTCAATAGCTCACGTGCTGCCTTACGCAGCTTGGACAATGCATACTGAACGCGCCAAATTTCTCGTTTACAACGAAGTCCATACTCACCTAGAAGCTTCAATTCTTGATCCAGACGTTCTTTTTCAAACGCACGTGATGGCGTACGATACGTCTTACGATAATTACGATGACGCGAGATCTTGGGCATTGTATTCAAGTGGGGAACTTCGTTATCAAGCGAATGCGAAGGGAGTGACCAATGAAGGATCGAATGGCATGAACGTGAGTGTTCCACGGGAACCACCAATATCGTCGAACCAATCAAATATAAGATTGAATACTTCTAACCAATCAAGCGTACTAACATTATATTAACCAATCATTACACACAATAAAGTTAAACTCATCTACTTAGTGGTTAAAAATGTATGGTCTTGCACTGTGTGGCTCCTGTGACTTTCAAGTTTCAAGTTACCCTGAAGTAGTTCTTTCGACATTGTACTTATAAGTCAACAAGGCTACTTTTCTATTACTATTAGTAGTATTATTATTCAAAGTGAGTCACATTTGAATCATGGAAAAGGGGAAAATAACAATGGAAACAATGAAAAAGATGAAAATTCCGCCCGGAAGTAAAGGACCAGCTACTGCATTAGTTAAAGTAGCAGTAGTCACAGGTGCAGCTATCTATGGCGCTTATTTGTCAATCTATAATGTACCACCTGGACATCGTGCTGTTGTCTATAGTCGTCTTGATGGTGTTGGCAAACAAGTGATTGAACAGGGAACACATTTTCTCATTCCATGGCTACAACGTCCACTTATTATGGATGTTCGGACACGTCCACGTACTTATGCGTCACTTACGGGCACGAAGGATTTACAGATGATTAATATTTCTATCCGTGTCCTCTCGAAACCTGATCGTGCACGATTGCAATGGCTTTATCAGAATCTTGGCATGGGTACGATGAAGGAATAAGAGAGAGTAGAAGATTGATATACTTGTTGTATAAGGCTATCGAGATTGGATACTGATACAAGTTGTTGCTGTTGTTGTCGTTGTTGTTTCTATTCTTTTGTATGCTATAGATTTTGATGATAAGGTATTACCTTCGATTGTTAACGAGGTGACGAAGCAAGTGGTAGCTCAGTTTACAGCTGCTGAGTTGATCTTTCAACGTGAACATGTTAGTCGTCTGATTATTGAAAACTTGGTACGTGCGTATGCAAAAAAAGCTACATGATGACGACACAAGAGAAGGTGCTAATGTTTGGATGTTTGTGACAAAAACTACGTTTTTTGGAGTAGAAGCGTCGTGCTGACCGTTTTGCTATCATGTTGGAGGATGTATCGATCATCCATTTGACGTTTGGTGCCGAGTACACGGCTGCTATTGAGGCCAAGCAGGTGGCGCAGCAGGATGCAGAACGTGCTCGTTTTGTTGTGGAACGTGCTATCCAGGAGAAGAAAAGCACTGTTATTCGCGCTCTTGGTGTGTCCAAGTCAGCAGAGCTTGTTGGTGAGGCTATTAAGAATAATCCAGCCTTTGTGCAGTTGCGTCGTCTAGATGCGGCAAAGGAGATTGCTACCGTTATCTCTCGCTCGGCCAATAAAGTTTACTTGACCTCTGATTCGCTGCTGCTCAACATCTTGCAAGACAACGAGCAGACTTCGTACGTGTGCTGACTATGATTTATGTGACTTTAATGATTGACCAAGTCTGTTTTGCATGTTATAACAACAGGTTTGGCAAGAAGAAGTAAGCTTGATATGATCATGGCTAAGAGCTGTCATGCAGCATGGTGGGAGATGCTTAAAAGTTGCTGGTTCTTTTCACTATTCATGAATGCGGTCAGATACAAAGTGACAGATATATGATCATGTCAAATGAACGAAGGATCTGACCATTGCGTTAGCTTTAAAGCTAGTTAAACAACCATTAATCGCATGCATCCATTCGTTCATTTTACTTCATTCATGTGTGTCAAAAATCAGTACATTCTGGAACTTGTAAATCTTGTTTGCGGTCCACTTCATGTCCACCACATCATTTTAACCGGTTTGCTATTCACCTCCAAAAAACAAGGTCATATGTTCATTCGTAGAAAAGCGTTAAGTAATCGTAAAGTCTTCTTCGATATAGCGTTCATTAACTAGTAGAACACAAATAGCATTACTATGAGTTGGAACTCAGACGATCGATGGCAAGATTCAAGCAGTTCATCCGCAGCCTCAGGATTTGATACAAGTGCAACAAGTGGTCTTGATTTTCCTGTATTGCCTACGATCCCGTCTGGTAGCATTGACATTGGTGCTATTGCTCCTGTCTTTGGTGTGGCGTCATACGATGATGATGCTGATTATTTGGATTACGACAAAGCTGGACGACCTTTTATGGAACAAATGAGTGGCTCATGTGGTACTGCCTATTTCTCAGGCATTCTCGGTGGTGGCACGTACGGAGCAGTGCGAGGTTTTACGTCCTCACCTAGCACTAAATTTAAAATCAGGATGAACTCACTCATGAATGGTGCTGCTACACGAGGTTCTAAGGTCGGCAATGCACTTGGATGTTTGGGTACGTGTGATATGAAAGACTTGTGAAGAGTCAGTCATGAGTTGTCCATTGACACGTTATTGATGTGTTTGTTATTCTTATTGTATCTTGTTTTGACTCAGCTATGATTTACAAGGCTTTTGAGTACGTCGCGGACTCTGCTGAGATTGAAAACATTGTCAAGTTTGATCAGGTTACGCCTATTTTGGCATCAGCAGCTACTGGTGTGTTTTACAAATCAACAGCTGGCCCAAAGGCCATGGTGCTGGCTGGCGCACTTGGCGCTGGACTCATGACGGTGGTGCAGCTTGGTATCAAGCCGTTTTATCCGCGACTATAGAAATACTTTTCATTTTTTTGGCTGCTGTTGTTTGGCTAAGCTATGTACGTCAATTAGAACAGATCGAGGGCAGATAATGAAAAACGAATAAAGTATACGAGCTATTATAGTAGTGCAAGAGGTAGACAAACCAATGCAAATACAAGTTAGCACAGCAGATATTCAGTATATAAGCGGCATTAAGAGCATTGCACTATTACCAACGATCCTGGTACATGGATCAATTTGTTTTATGTCTACCACATTCATCAATTTTTCTTATTCTGTGACTTCCACATTAATGTATTCCTTTCTTATTTTGGGCATGTGGGATGTATTGTGCTTTTCAAACTTCCCGCGTATATTTCCCGCGCGAATTTTTTTAATTGGTTTAAATTCAAATCTTACTAATCGATGCTAGAGCTAGAGCTGCAGGCGCTCAAAATGGAGCTGCAAAGCACTTTAGCACACTTGGGCATTGTGTGTGTAAGCTCTGACAACGACGTCAAGACTCGTCATCATGTCGATAATTCATCTGTCGCAGTGACTGCAGAAATGAATGATACACAAAGAAATTGGAATTGTCAACAGCAAGCGCAAACAACTTCCGATAGGAATCGGTCCATTACGCAATGGAATCGACGCCGATTAACAAAGGAACTGTCTGCTGTATCGGCAAGACGAAGAGAAATAGAGATGCAATTGCAGAGGGAAATTGAACGAGAACGACAAGTCCAAGACCAGAATCAACAGCAGCAAGACAAACGAAGGAGTAGCCGCAAAAGCGTGTGGCAAGCTGCAATCCTTGAGTTGAAGCAGCAACGAGCACAAATTTTGAAACAGATTGAGCGTGAAACAGTATCAGATGTAGCGGAAGCAGAGGAGAGAGAAGAGACGAGACAGAGTGATGTTCAGGAGACGGAAGAGAGGAACCGGAATCAGATTCCACTTCCGACGATACCTCGACCACTTCAAATGGTGAGGAGTAATAATGAGACGCAATATTCAATTGGTGGAGTAGTGACGCTAGAGCCGTTGTCTTTATCACAACAAACTCAAGTGTCAGTCATGACAACTGGAGTGTCGTTGCATCCCACAGTGGACGTTTGTTCTGTTGCAACTCAAGTGAGGGACTCACATCCAAAAGTGAACTACCGTAGTACTCCGGACGCAATAAATGATGTGTTCTTACTGCAGCTGAAATTTGCTGAGACGATGTCAAAGCTTGAAAAGTCGGTGCAGATACGTGACCAGTTGCTGCAGCATGACAGGACGTCGTGTTTGCCAAAGCGCAGGACAAGAACGCAATTGATAAACGAGACACGACAAGCTCATCGTCGCAGTCGACATAGAAAGCAGTCTAATAGGAGTGAAGCCAGTAGCGATTTGAGCATCATGTATCAAGAGAACTGCAGTGATGACTCGTTCAGTTCGAGCTCGGACTCCTTTTCATCGTTGGACTCGACGCCGCATCGTGACCACAATGTTCGGGTAGGTTATCCAAATTTTGGAGTGTTGAGAGCGACTACTGCTAAAACGCTTGCACGATCTACTTTGGGATTGAATGGAGAAAGTCTGACGACTGAGGAGGCGACCGACAGGGTGTGCACGGTATCAGGAAGTGTTACAGCACAGTCTTTCCACGGACTTCGTGAGAATGATCGAAATAGCGGTATTGAGCATACACCTTCTGACGAGCAAGGATCGGAAGTTCGCAGGACACCAACAACCGAAAGCAGCGCAGCGACTCCGACCACCGGAAGTGATCAAAAGTCTAATTCATCGCTGTCCAAGCAGGTTCGTTTCGGCGACGAGGCGTACTCTACCCCTGTGCTTGCTCGAAAGTTTAATTTTGATGGTCCATCGATCGATGAAGATGACTATGAAGAGAAGGACGAGGAGGCGGGGAGTGTCTTAAGTTTTTTGGGTGGATCTAGTGTTACCAGCTCGGAGCTGAATGACGTGTCTTTTTTGCGGGCTTTTGAGCGCTTCCGCCGCGAGCTGAATGCGACGCAGTCTTCGCTCCAACTTCCACTAGCGAGAAGGTTGTTTTCCGAAACGAATGTGTCAACGACCATTACAGCAACAAACAGTGCACCACATGCTTTTGACTCTTCCGGTGAAGCACATGCCTGTGACAACACACCGGCATTCCCATCGCTTGACGACTTAAGTATAGAAGAGCTGCAAATGCGACGAAGACAGCTATGCCTAGACATACAGGCCGAAAGTGCTCAACTTGTCCTGAACTGTGGTGGTGGGATGCAGAATGGGACTGCAGGATCGCAGGATGCAAAGCAAACTCAGAATTGCTTGCAGAAGATGAGGGATGAACTTAAGGCTGTCGATCTACGGTTGAAATCACGTGTTTGAATTCCAATATGGTTCCGACGACTATAGAAAGTTACCTTCTAGTTTAAATGATAAAGCATTGACTTGGCGTAACAATAAGCGAATGATTTATGGGAATGAACCAACTCGATCATTGAATAAACAGAACGTACGTATACAACTGCAACACAATGAGATGGAGTATTTGACATCTTTCTACGTCGTCATCTCACCAATCTTCGTATTGTTGTCACGTCTACTGACCGACAAAGTCGATGTAAATATGATATTCACAGCGTATCAAAAGTATGAAATATTCATTAATCCATCCTTTCAAGTATGGACATACAGCTAAATAAACCATGTAAGATCCTGTCTTGTAATATGCATTTAGAAAGTCTTCATACCCTTATTTACACACTGTATAACATTATACTTTGTGTTGATTAAAAATAAGATATACCAATCATATATCCATCCACTATATCATCCACAATACGTTTTTGCTACCAAAATGTCTTGGTGTACTATTGAGTCTGATCCTGGTACCGGTCTTCATCTCCAAGCACGTTGTTCTTGCATGAGTTCCTCACTTGTTTCTTTTGATCAATCTATATGTATGTATGTAGGTGTGTTTACCACCCTTATTGAAGATATTGGCGTAAAGGGCGTCCAGGTTGAGGAGCTCTATACATTAGATGAACAGCAGTTCACCGATTTGTCACCCGTCTACGGCCTCGTGTTTCTATTTAAGTACGAGTCCAACCATGAAGAAGATGATCAACATGCTGAATTTGCTCAAGAGGAAGACGGACTTTTTTTTGCCAAGCAGGTTATTAGTAATGCTTGCGCTACTCAGGCTATTCTGTCCATTCTACTCAACTCACAGGAGATTGAATTGGGCGAAACCTTGTCGGATTTTAAAGCATTTACGAGCGATTTTCCATCAGATCTCAAGGGACTTGCTATCTCCAATAGTGATAAAATTCGTTTAGCTCATAACTCATTTGCCCGGGCAGAACCTTTCGTGGTGGAGGAGAGAAAGGCAACGGAAGATGACGACGTGTATCACTTTGTGGCGTTTGTGCCAGTAAATGGCAAAGTGTATGAGCTGGATGGACTACGAAACGGTCCAGTTTGCTTAGGTGATGTGCCAGACGTTGAGTGTCATGACTCTTGGCTACAGGTGGCGTGTCCTGTGATCCAGAAAAGGATTGAGAAGTACGCTGCATCAGAAATCCGCTTTAATTTGTTGGCGCTCGTGCGTAACCGGATACAAACATATGAAGAGCAGCTTCAGGCTGTCATTGAGGCTGGTGGAAGTGAGCAGCAAGCAGCACAGATCCAGGCAGATCTTGCTGCGGAACACCAAAGACGCGAGAACTGGGCGTTGGAAAACAAACGTCGCAAGCACAACTACATCCCGTTCATCGTCCAGCTGCTCAAGACATTGGCCGAAAAGAAACAGTTGGAACCTTGATCAAGCAGCAAATCGATGCCCACAACGTTGTTGCGGCAAACGCAGCAAAACGCATGAACGTCCAATAAAGAAGGAGAAAGAGACACAAGACAAATCCACCATTTCCATTGAAGTGTAGAGCGTGTCTATCAGCGACGTAAGAGGCTGCTTATAGAATGGGAATGGGAGCTACCAAAGGCCCAGCGTGTTACTCTAACCGCATTGACCTGTATGCTTGAACTGAACCCTTTCCAAACGCTCAAAATCTTGTCTACCATCCCCCACGAAGCTGTAGAACCATGTGAATTGTACCACCGGCTGCCACATTGTAATCCTGCAATGTCTTATCATCAGCTCTACAAGTATAGAAAAACGAATTCAACGCAGCGTCAATCTTCATGTCAATACCTCATGGTCGAAGAATCAATGAAACCTTCTACATTGACATTAATAACATACAGTTGTTTGCCACTGTAGATAAGACGGATCTGATCCACCTGAATTCCTTCCTTCTCCTGTAGTGCTTGCTTTACATGTAAGATCTTGATTACAGATATAGTATACAAGATATAACAAGGAAACAAAAGCAATAGTATGATCATTACCAATAGTGACAATCTACCATACAAATCAAATACATTATCAACTCATTCGCTCATTGCAAACTCTACTGTACCGTATTGTCTGGTTCAAAGTTAAACGTCTGCTTTCTGCCCGTGAGTGTCTATATGCCAAGTTTATAATAATTATATTACTAGGATCAGTATGAGATATTTTGGACGAGAGACGATAAAGGCTCTAAGACTTTTCATTACCTTGATCTGAATTTGCATGATCGTGAGCTAAGACGATTTAATTCTACTGATAAAGTAAGGATTAAGAAAAAGAATACTATTAACTATTATGAGCTTAATGTCAATGTTGCAGTAAGGTACGGAAATAAAATGTGCGTTATTTGTTAGAAAAATGGGTATGATTCATTTCCATTTTGAGGTCATTTGGAAAACGCTAAGTTCGCAGCGCTTGCAAAAAAAGCATTTTTTCGAACAAAACCCCGTTTAATTATAAAACAATATGTTTAGCGACTGATAGCCATTTACATTGTTAAGATTGGATAAATCTGTAGTTTTCCAATAATATCGAGTCACTATGTTTTCGTTCTTTTGGGGGTTATGGGATTATCTATTCTCTAAGGCAGAGTTGCATCTACTGATTGTTGGCCTTGATGATGCAGGCAAAACGGTAGGTAAGTTTTGTGGTGGGTTAAATACTTTTTATAAAAGTCAAGAAGACGTCTGATTTGAACGGGATTTTGGTGCCTGAAGACACTTTTGGAACAGGTAAAAGGTATCTTTGGTAAAAAACCAGGCATTCCACTGGAAAAAATCCCGCCCACGGTGGGTCTTAACAGTACGTCGATAAATTGGAACGTAACATGAAAAAGCTGGAGCTATAACGTTGTCCTGTGTGATGCCCAGTCGCTCGAGTTGATATTCGACGATCGAGGATCATTTGCTGGGATTTGGGAGGGCAGGTGGGGTTTCGACTGTAGCAATGACTTGAAGACGGGAGTAACGGATAGATGTCTGTACAGGAAAGACTTCGAGCAATCTGGAACAAATACTACAGCGAAAGCCATGGCATTGTGTTTGTAATCGACTCGGCCAATGATCGGAGATTCCAAGAAGCCAAAGAGACACTTCGTACGTTTTGAAAGTGACCGAGATAGTTGGTATTGCCCTAACAATTGTTGTGCCTTGCTTCAGATGCAATGCTGTCAAACTCCGAGCTGTCGGGAGTACCGCTTTTGGTGCTTGCCAATAAAATGGACCTGGTCGATGCACGAAACGTGAACTTCATTACGGGGATGTTGGGTCTAGAAGAGCACCATGGAACGATGGCGAGCTATTCCATCTGTGCCTTGACAACGTAAGTATGTTGATGATACGATATTGGTATGGACTGGTAGCACTGATAACTTCCGTTGTTGCTGATGCAGGGAGGGCATTGAAGGTGCAATGAACTGGCTAGTCGATGCTGTTAAATCTAGTGACCGATTTTATCACAAGTCACCTATAGGAGGAACTTGAGTAGTGGACCTTCAAAAATGCTCGCTTGCCAGATTCACTTTAATATTTCTTCACCACAGAAAGACGAGCTGGTGCGCAGATCACAGACTATTATACCAAGCGCCGCTAAGGAAAGCTACGAGTGTTCGTTTTAAACAACATGGTCAACACCTTTGGCTTGAGCCAATCTCTCTTCCTATATGCAACAAGCATAAAGTTCATTCGCTCCCGAAAATTTCGCATCGTAGCACTCCTAAGCCTTTTACAGGTTACGCATACGCGCCAGAGTACTGAGCTCTACAAGCGAGTGGCCTGTTCGAAGAGCTATCTCTTCAGCGGTCTCGTGCTTGGCAAGCGCGTCGAAAGTAGCCTTGACAACTGTGAAAGGGTTGCGCTGGCCGTGGGTCTTGGACACAATGTCTGTAATGCCAAAGCAGTCGAGCACACAAGCCACGGTATCGCTCACGGTAAGTCCTTTGTCCTTAGGCGCTGGGCGCAGAAATAGCGTACAGCTATTCCATTTGCCGCACACCTCATGATACAGTGTGCGGTTGTCAAAGCGGTCGATGTAGGTAAAACGCTTCAGAGCAAGCTTCGTGCCACGCTGGATAGCAATAGGGGGCGACGAGCCCTTGCCTACAGCGTAGCCGGCAACTCCTCGCATGTTACCGACAACAATAAGCGCGCGAAAGTTGACGATTCGCTCCTGCGTCGTGACTTTCTGCACCTGATCTACGTGCACAATTTGGCGCAGTAGGCCCATACGACCGAGGTTAAGCTCGCTTTCCTCGTCATCGTCTGCAAACTCCATCTCGTCGCCCTCCTTGTTCATGGCACGTATATCTCGCAAAATGCCTGTATCAGGGGTAAGATATTGACCTGGCTGGTCCGGATCTACTAGCGTAATACCGTCCTTCTTGAACTCATCCAAAAGACGGCGACGCACCTTGCCGCGATTCTCGGGTGCTACAATCATAAAGCGACTCTTCTTGGCTGCTTCAGGCATTATTTGACGACGCGGCATGGAGTCACGACGGTCTTTGTCGATAATTTTATCAGGACCTTCATCAAAATCTTCGTCCGAGATGCGCCAGTCTTCATCGGACGAAAAGCTGACCATCTGCAATTTAATAGCGGCAAATCGATTGTGCTGGCGAGCAAAGTTGACTACGCTAGAGCGCATGGAAAATCGCTGCAGCATGTTAAAGACCTGTACGAATCTGCTATACGATACAAAAGATCCACAAGCGTCAATTAAACGACGGCATAATCGATCATTACGCTGGACTTACCACGAGAAACCTTACCAAATTAATGAGTGGCTAAATGAACCGCGATAGAAACAATAATGTAAATTGACCAATCCGTTGCGGTTGTTATTTTAGCCAATGAATGCAAGTTTCCTCATCGACAAACACTCTTGCGCCTCGTTCCGCACTCTTGAATTGTGCTGTACTATGGATTTAGTCGAGGAAGACCCCTCAAGCGTCACATGTGCGACAGCAGATTGGACCTTGTTGTATGAAGATCTAGAAAAGTTGTTTGACGATAATGTAGAGGTTGAGAGGAAGAAATGTCAGCTGTACAAGGAGCGGATTATTCTGCCGTCCGATGCCAGTGCGCAAGAGGCTCAGACGCAGCAGAGGAAGGACTGCGAAGGTTTAAACATGAGCTATAGAATAGCAGAGAATATAGAGGATCAACACCGTATATTATCGAGCAAGGCAATGGACGATACTGAGACGCCGTTCCTTGTAAAATCTTTTTTAGAGCTTCTAGAACAAGAAGTTGAGGCTTTAAAGACGCGCAATAAGGTCTTAGAAGGAAGTTTAAAGAATATCCAAGCTCAGGTAGAGATAGAGAGTGCTGCTAGTCTGAAATATGATCGACGAGCGACTCCAGCCAGCTCTCGTCTGAATGCAGGTCGTATACATAGTAAAGGGTGGTTTGATCAGTGTGAAAACTTTGCATTGATTGTGGCTCAAGATATGAAAGATCAATCTGACATACTTGAAGCCCATCAGGTACCACTGCTGGCTACATTGCCAACTGCTGAGGTCATTGTTCAAAATGTATCTTCTCACAAGGAACCCATTTACAACAACGATGAGCGTGCTCCAATACCGAGCTCGTTCATAAAACCTTCGACGCCATTGTTCCGTAGGTCGGTAGATAATCTGGCTTTAGGAGACAAGGCCACTATCGTTCAGCAGGGTGACGTGATTCGGGAATGGAACGTCCATCTAGATGAAAAAGTGAAAATAGAAGTGTGCACTGAAGACCTTTGTCAGATACTACAGCAGCATATTGAAGTTTACCAATCACTGATGGAAAAACATATGATGTTGTGCCAACATATTTCTCAGATGCGCGCGCAAGGCACTAACGCCGAGATCAGTACGAACCAGGACACATTGCTCCAACGTGAGTGGGGCACGATGGAAAAGACGTTAAAGTATCGAGAGCCATGCCCGGAGACGTTGAAGCATATGGCCGGAACGTGTTTGAAAAGCCAAAAGCGCCAGCTAGAAATGAAAGTGAAAGCCCAGGCGGTAATCGCAGCGCGAGAAAAGTCGCGTGACAAGGTTCAGATATTGGAGAGCGTGATATGCCAGGTAAATGATCGTGACAGCACAGTTTGGAATACGAAGTGGGAAGCCTTTCGAAAGCGTCTAGACGCGCTTGAAAATGAAATACAGGTAGAACAGCAGCGCCGTAAGCTGGTGGATAAAGATTCAGTGAGCAAAGAGGCTCAACCACTAACTAACCAGCCAGATAACCAAAGTAAGACATATCAGCTACGGAGCCGAGTGGATGCTTTAGAAAAGCGCGAACGTTTGCTTATAGGTCAGCTGCAGGTTGCATTGGAAACAGTCGGGTGGAAGGAGAAACAAATGCGGTTGCAGACCGAACTTTTTGAGACAAGGATACCTAATGAGGAATTGCAAGTTGCTGAAGAGCGTCATGACACTGATCAAAAGGATTGGAATCAAGCAGAAATTGCACTGAAACGTGCGAGGAGATCGATTGGAAAGTTGCAAATGAAACCGGAGGCACTGCGTAGCGAGCAAGACGTTGCTGAAGCTGGATATGGAGATGCATTGGAGGAAAATTTGCTGCTGCGAGAAAAAGAGAAGAAGCTAAAGTTGTTGCGTGAAGCGATGATCAAAGTAAGGCAAGTGTTTTTGAAGGCAGAAAATTGTCGCGCTTGCAAGACGGCAAGTGCGCACTACGCGATGAACCGAGATTTATTTGCACGAAAGCGGAAGGAGATGAAACGACGCGAGTATAAAGAGAAGAAGTTGAAAGAAAAGAAGACACGGTTGCACAGCCAGGTAACAATGCTTCAGATGAAGTTGGATCATCAGAAGAAAAAACGAGATCAACAACAGCGCAGAAAAAAACGCATAGCTGCACAAGGGACGATAGACAAGAAGATGAGCGCGTTAGAGTCCGATTTTCAGGCATTAAAATACGAAGTAGCGCCATTGAAGCGGCTTTTACATGATAAAACAACAAGCGAGGCGAGGGTAGTCGAAGATCAGGAGGAACTGCTGCAGATTTTGCAGGCTCAAAACCTTGCTTTACGCGTAGCATCCGCTCATGAGTCGACGTGTAAAGCTGGAACTAAACTGACGTGTGAGCAGTGCAAGGTTTTCCATCTTGTGAACATTCTGATGCTGTGTCTTACAGAAAAACAGGTGGACGCTCCGGAGCTTGAACACTACAATATGCAATTTTCAAACATGGAGCAAATGGAAAATTATAAAGCTCAGTTGCGGCGTTTGCGCCAACGACTTGTGCAACATGGCATGTCTTTCAAAAGCAGCGTTAATGACTACGACTCGAATTGCACAACAGTGCGCTGCCCAAACTCTCGACTACAATGCGAGGAGCAGCATTATGTTGTGGGCCATGAGTTAGAAGAGAAAAGTTTATCTCGTAGTAACGAGATGCAAAATAAGGAGTACATTATGGTGGTGAAAGACGCCAGGTTGCTTGAACTTGAGTTGGAGAACGAAAGTTTGCGTCATAAGTATACGCGGCTTCAACGAAAGAACCGATGTGGCGCGTGCTTTGCCTCACAACGCTCTTTTGGTGATCAGCGTGACAGCAAAGATGCACCGAAAAAGTACCGTAGGGCAAAAGGCGTTGGCAGTAAAGACGAACGGTCTCCATGGTCGGCACACGAACGGCTGGAGCTTGAGGATGTTGCTACCAAAGTAAGAAAGGTGATTGAAAGATTGCATGCTGAGAATAAAAAGTTGAAAAAAGCAGCGGCGGATCAGGCCTCCGTATCTCCTGAGAGAGTGGACTCGATGCGGCAAAAGCTGAGAGTGCAGAATAATACACGAGAACTTGAAGCTCAGTTGCAGCAACTGCGGCACGAAAGTAGTGAGCTGAGAATTGACAAACATAAGCTTCAGCAGCAGCTTTGCGCGAAGACTCCGTTACCGAGTTTGCCAAAAAGTGAGAACTCGCTGGAGCTTCAGCTGAAAGAAAAGGACCGGCAGTTGTTACAATCCGAGCAGGAGCTGGCAGAATTACGAAATCAGGTGCTTCAGCTTAAGCTGCAGGTTGCACGTAACGCGAGTGCGGACGACGATGCGTCGATCAAGCATAAACAGCAACAGCGTTTGAATGAATTACAAAGGCGTGTGCTTAAGCTGAAGGACGAAAACACAAAACTAATCAATGAACTAGCGGCATTTGGTGAAGATTTTTTTGACAAGATAGAGGACCTCAAATACAAATACTGCACAAGCTGTGCGCGGCGGCAACTAAAGAAGCGATTTGCACTTGATGTAGGCGGCGATTCACCTCCAGTCGCAGCAAAGCTAAGCATGGATTTAGTAGTCATCACCACGAGACAAAACTTCCTTGCACGTAGGGCGTAGAATGATCGTGTGCTCGTACTGCGCGGTGTAGCTACCCTTTACATCCACAAGTGGCGGGTATGCCATGACAATCCCCGTATCCACCAAGTTCTTCAGAGCCATTAGGTATTTTTCCTGCTTGGCACCCTTTGGATTAATAGTGGCAGAGCCACCATCCTCACGCTCGATCCATCGGCGGCACCACGGCAGCGTACCAAACGTACGAGTGATATGTCCCAACAGCTTCTTGGCGCGGGGCAGACGCAAAGGCACGTGAGGTGCGTCAAACACCTTAGCATAATGCGAGCACTCGCCGTCTTCAACCACGTAGCCACGGCCGGTGGTGTTGAACGTTTCAATGGCGAAAATCTCGCCCTCTTCCATCTTTGTCTGATCTTCTGTCTTCACAATCGGAACGCTTTTGCCAGCGTGAATCTGGTACGGGCCAATGGAGTGGCCGTTCAGGTTACGAATCGACTTCACAGGGTAGAGTTTGCCCTCAATTGTAACCTCAAATGACTCCATAACTTCCTGAATAGCGGCACCAATCTCACCCAAACGGGCATCAATACCAGCATTAGCAATCCCCGCCTCTGTAGCAGCCTTTGCAGCCTCAAGCAGTGGATCAAACTGCGGGTCAAACGCCACGGTCCACGCACTGTCGATGATGCGACCATTGACTTGCGTACCAAAGTCCACCTTCATGACGTCGCCATACGACAAAACCGTCTCGTCACCCGAATTGGGTGTGTAATGAGCCGCCACATGATTCAATGAGCAACCCGTGGGGAAGCCAATGCCGCGCTGCATACACATATACACATATCCGACGAGTCAGCTTACTTAGTCATCGTCAACACACCCTGTAGCAGCTTGACATGCACTGTATACGTACAGCAAAACCAGCCTCAACGACAAGCTCACGGTTTTTGTTCTCGAGCTGTGTGCACATATCGATGAGCTTTACTCCAGGTTTTATGATACTTTGTGCAAATTTGCGCACATGACGATGCACCTCGGCTGCATGGCGCACCGTCTCGTACAGATCTTCTTGTGCTCTATCCATCGCGCGCTTCTCCTCACTCGTAAGTCGAAACATGTTAAAATCTCCTGGATGGTCTTGAATCTCGCCCTCAGGGTAATGACCATCCGGATAAAGCTTTTCAATGGGAATTGTGGGTGGATCTGTCTGTCCCACAGCCACATAGCTGTCTGTAAAGCCTAAGACACCACGGAACGGTGGCAATCTAGAGCCTAAGGCGGTCTTGTTTTTCTTCTTGTTTTTCTTTTTCTTCTTCTTCTGCTTGCTCTTATCGCCTGCAGTGTCATTAATATCCACGTCACTGGACGACATCTTAACGTTTCTCTTCTCCTCTGCCGTCGTTATCGCTGCCTCCTGTTCCTCTAACTTGGTCATTCCCTGAAGGTCAATAAAATAACGGCAGCTTAAAGACCTTTTGGAACTCACAGAAGGACTGGTTATGGTTTGCACGTAACTTGGTACCTGTTTGGTGTAACGTACGTCAGAACGCAACACTTTTTTCGGAGCGTTCGATCGGATTTTTCACAGTTATGCACAAGTATAGAAAAACTCTCCGTCATGTTTCGATCATAAACAGACAAGAAATTATTGTCCGTCATTTTTCACGCTCATATAAATGCAACAATCTTTCCTAGTATCACAATATTTACAAGTTGAATTACTCTCGTGGGACATTGTATGTCTTCTTCTTTCACCACCCATCGGCAGCGGGTCCATTTTGCCAGCCTAAACGGGGCACCCTACGCTTATACTCATGACAGTATAAACACTTACAAGGACAACAGTGTAGGAGATGCTTCGTACTTCACGTACACGTGCCAAGAAGAAGAGATACGACAAAGTACAAAAAATGTGGTGTAAGGAATGGATAATTAAAGCCCATTAATAAATGTATCTTTTTGACCTACTTTAATAATATATATGTACAAATACGTATATTAGCTATGTTGAGGAGAAGGGTCTGGATCGCAATGTGATCAGACACGCTCCGGAACACAACCATTGCTGCTGTCACGACAAATTTTGCGTTGGACAAGAATGTTCCATCGATGCTTTAAAGAAAGCATCAATGATTCTCACGAAATTGTAAGCGAGATAGAACATCTCTTATACAGGGAAGGAGGAGTTTGCTCGCAATGTCGAAACCATTGAGCGCAGCCGTGGATGGGTAGCTTATTGTTACTTGAAGAATTTAAGAAACTTTCTCCAACCGCTGACATAAGTGTCTCTCTAAAAAAACGGCAGGTGCAAGTTATGTAATGCATCGCTCTATGTTTATGATATCAATGTGCATTTACACCGGTTGCTTCAAGAGGCTGGGCTGCCATGTTGCTCGTGGGAGATCCTCTTGTCAGCTGTATTGAAAATTTGGCATGGGTTTCCTTAGGAGGCTAACCTCCTTACTTCGCACATGGCGGCTGATGCACATCTTTTCCAAGATGCGGGACTGAATTGACGCTCTTCAATACCAGAACGAGCGATCCAAGAGCACGTTTTCGATTATCCTTCTGCCTCATCCGGTTTGTCTTGTCCATAATGAGCGAATCAACCCTCCATATCCTTCATCAGTTGGAAGCGAGACTTCCAGCTATCCCACGACTGGGGTATGATTGCGCCCCCAAACGAGGTAGCACATTCGGTATTGGTTCACATCGCGGTCGGTCGAAATACGCTCTACGTAAAAGATTTGAACAGATGATATGGTGTTGTAAAACCAAACTAGCCTAATCAGTCGGGTTTGACGCCGAATTGGACCATTCAATCGTGTACAAAGTGAATTACGCGTGAACATAGATCACGAGCGGGGCATGAGCCACCGCTTGGCAGAAACTGTGATTCGTTATCGCAGTGACAGCCTGAATAATCGAGATAAATTTGCCTTTGCTCTTTGGAGAACGAGCGAGCGCAACGCTCGCCTCGACGAAAGGAGATTGCGACTTTTTAACGCCTAGGTCGCTGACAAGATCTGTGAATGCAAGAGTCTAACAGAGATTCGTGAATGCAGGAAGTGTCTTCACGTCAGGAGAATCCGCGTACTGCAGCCATCTTGTCGTCTTGATGAGAGATAGGATTCCGAATGAACATGATCATGTTTAAAGCTTCAGTTTTCCTGGAACAATGCAAAGATCGATTGGTCAAGCGGTTGACGGGAACATCCGCACGAAGCATGATGAGCACAGTGATGTGCATGTGCTCATCTATCGGGTTAATACGATACAACTCACAAAGTATCGTGTAGATTCAGTTTAAGCGTTTATATCACTGTGGCGGAGCCGCAATCGCACAATTGTTGGGACCCTAACTTTCCACTAGTGCTCAAACGACTGACTGTCGGAGGAATACTCCGGTTCCGTGTGGATATTTTCCTTTGCTCACACCTGTACCCGTCAGTAAAGCTGGTCGCACTTTTCTTGATGACTTGAGTAGATATAAATCTTGATCGGATTGGTGGGGAGGAGGAGGAGAGGGGGCAATTGTGTGGAGACCTTCACTTAGTCGCAGCTGTTCTTAGTTGTGCTGTAGTATCTACTTCGGTCTCCCTTGATATCGCCTTGGCCAATATGGCGATACTTTGATTTCTCTACTGATCACTGGAGCTGTCTCGCGATCTTGTATTCCTTTTCATGTAGCTGCGTCCAATTTGCAGTTGTGGGCGTGTTGGGGGTCCTTCTTTCCTGGCCAAATAATTCAGGGACGGTTAGCTGTTGTACGCGTGAGCCTCTTGAACGTCGGAGGGGGAGGTCAAATTCTAGCCCGGAAGAGAGGTGTATGTGCGCCATGAAAATGTTAATTAAACAAAATGCCAGCCTTTGGTTATGCCTATCTGTATGTCAGTATACGTTGCTGAGTGTGAAACGATCGTCTCCTTGTTTTATGTGGCGCACATCAGTCACCACACTGCGGATGCGATCGGGTAATACCTGATAAATCCGATAGGCTAAGGTTAATCGAGTATGACCAAACCTACATATGTAATCCACACTAAGTATGTAGTCCAATCTTTCTTGTCACCAATTAACTTGCTCTCCCTTTCGCATAAAGCTTGTTGGCGAATGATAGCGGCCTTGTGCCCCAACAAATACTACTGACAAGTTTCCCTAAAACTTGTGACCGACTTCACCACATCACGCTTACCCTACTTTCAATTAGCCATTATATTCAGCCAACACGGCGGTCCAATCAGTAATGGCCAACGGGCGGCCAGCAAATGGCTTCTATACGTATTTGTACATGATATCATTGAAGGAGGTCAAAACGCGAGTTTACAAATGGACTTTAATTATAATAATTACACTTCTCCCATTCCTTACAACAAATTGTTTGCACTTAGTCGTATCTTTTCTTCTTGGCACGTGTAAGCGAAGTACAAAGCATATCCTTACTTGTAAGTGTTTATATTGTCATGAGTATTAGCGTAGGGTCTGTGGAATCACTTTGTAGTCTTTTGGTCGGCCATGGAAACATCCTCTTTCGGACGAGTGAATGTAAGCAGTTCTCGCTCCACGCGTGAGAGCTTCTTAATTTAAGTGACCATGAATAGCTGACGGTACGTCAAATGGCTGAGATCGTGGTATGGCTCCCGTAGGCGCTAAGTTGATCTCCATGGATTAGAACGAGCAATATAGGACCATCGCCGAGTCCAGTCAGCATGAGCTTGACGTGGAGATGAAAAAGGCCTAGCCGTTGAGAGAGAAAGGCGCACAATGAGCGGACTTATTGCGACAGCAAGGACTCAACATTCTGAACTGCTGGGAGAGCAGCTAGTAGGTACTGCCGCTGCCGGGCTACCTGAATACTTGAATATTGAGATCTCCAAGTGCGGGGCAGTCGAGTATGAATTTCTAATACGATAGTTTGCTGAACTCGACAACGCCATTGAGGCTCGTCGCATCAAAGACGATGCGATGATGGTAACGTCTGCTACGCCGAGTTTAGTAGGACGTGCCGATGCTTGTTCTTAGGGCTCAAGCTTCACAACCCATATGCTTTTGGAGCGTATGAGATCTTGAAGGTAAAACTTTAACAGACGTTTGAGCCTTTTGCAACATTTAGGGTTGGTCAATAAGCATATGTTCTGAATGCTGCCAATTTATGTATAATTCGTGATCACAAACCTCTACGATGAATAATATACGATAAAAATGTTCAGACTGAGACCTAATAATAGTGTCAACGTTACCTAACGGGACAACCCAGTTACAGATGCGGCAAGCTAGATGGGTACGTGCTTGCTTGGTTTCGCCAGAGTTAACATGGCAAAGACATTTATAAGAGCTTCAGCACTAAAGTTTGCGCGATTCGTAATCTTTAAGACCTTAATTGTGTCACCATCCTTGCCATATCAAATTTATGGGCACCAACCGACACAATTAGCCTTTGCCGCTGTAGTTAACGATGCGTTGTTAAGACATTATCTGGCGTGGTAAATCTTCCACAAAAGCTGAAATCATCAAAACAGTCGAGATAGATCGTGGTATCAATGCCAGTCAGTCATGTAACTTTGTGCCCCGCAGAGCTTCTTAGGCACTTATTATACCTGTTACCTGTCCAACCCAGGAGCAGAGAAGAGATAAGACCAAAGATGACTTTGAATGTAACTTGTTTAATTTATCAAGATGCAGATAAGTGAAGTGAGAGCAGTAGATTGTAAAAGTGGATATGATGAAAGATACACAAGATACATGAAATCATTTGTTTAAGGCCGCGATGCATGGAGGAGAATTGCTGTCGCTCACTACCAACACAGCATACATTCCAAAACGCCAATACATTACAAAACGCTTTTTAGTGTAATTTCATAGTGTGATGTGAGCTGATCATACCAGTAGTGTCACGATTAGCCATTCTTGTTCCCACGAATCACTTCGTAAAGCCAGGCGCTTTGCGCGAACAAATGGTTTTGTCACGTTTTTGAATATAAAGAAATCGTGCGACGTCTTTAAGCCCGCATCATTTATACATGATGATACCTAGCCGAAGCAGTTCCATGAAGGTCTTGCACATGTGATTACATAGAGTGATGTGAATTATCTTAGCATGACAAGGCTAATATTGTCTCGACTAACCATTCTTGTCCCCACGTATCACTTTGTAAGCCCACATCGTAACTACATAACGATACCTAGCAAAAAAAACACTAGAAGGTCATTCAGAAAGCAATATCAAGAAAAAAAAGAAACAACACAAAGACTCTTGAAAACGTTATCCCAGCTCTAAACAAGTAATTGCGATCAAGTCACTTGGTCATTAAACAATACTTGAAGGATTGTAAGATAAGCATTCATTTGTTGTATCCTGATCTGAATTGGTATTGCAACTACATGCAGATATGTTGAAATACTTCGGCAAGGTCTTTGAGCGAGACATTGCTCAAT